GGGAAGCCTGCTTCTCCCTCTCCCACTCCCCCTGCTTGTGTTCCCTCTCTCACTGTGTCTCTGTCAAATAAATAAATAAAATCTTAAAAAAAATATATATATATTATTATACAAATGAACACTGTAAGGTTGGTCTGTAGCTAAGCAAACAAGAGGGGTAAACAATCACTCAGAAATCACCAGAAGAATAATCTCTAGTAAGCCTTGCCTAGTAACATTTAACTTATTCTATTAGTAATTTGGGAAAAGGCAAAAACATCTCTAAGTAGGCCCTGCCTTGTACTGTTTGATGTTTTATTAGTTGCTTAGAGGCAAAAAACTGTTATGTTTATGAAATGTGTAGATGATATAGAATTGTATAGAAAACCCAACATCCTGACACTTAGAACATACTGAGGATTAGGATTTGAAACCCTCATTAATATGGAAGGCAGTTAGCCATCATTAAAATTCAAAGGACTTTTGTGTGTAACCCCAGAATTGGATCACTGAGTGGAAGAAAGTACAGGGGGACAAATTTCAGGGTGAAAAAAGGATAAACTTTCTAACAGAATGATACAAAGATGGAATGTGTTTATTTTTACAGTAATGAGCTTCCAGTTACTGAATATACATAAGCATGGGATAGATGGCTTCTTCTCAGCAGACAGTAAGAAACATGAGCTGAAATCAGTGTGTTTTAAATTTAATAGCAGAACCATTGCACTGAAAGAAATCTTACCCAGAAGACTGATCTACAAAACATAAAGAGAAACTGCTCTAGTTGAAATTCCCTACCACATCTCACACTTAACTCACGTGGCATTGGACCACATGATCTCTAAAGTGGTTCATATTTGATCAGTAAAACTTTAATTTCTCAAAATTTATTACTCTAAATAGTTTAGGTGAATGGTCTCCCAAATGGAGTAAATAAAAGGATCTGTTGGGGGTGTGGAGAAAATCAGAATTTATATATATATAAAACTTGCATATATATTAAAAACATATATATGTTAAAATTATATATCATATATACTAAAGTTATATACTAAAATTATATATTATACATATGTAAAATTATACTTTATGGACTAAGAACAGTATATGTAATTTTCAAGAGTTTCTCATCAGAGCCATGATCAAATATAATGCCTTCTGATACTGAGGTACTTTTTAAAAACAATTTAGAAAGAATATGAGAGTTTTTGAGCAAAAAAAAATCAACATCCATACCCACTAATTTAACACAACTGCTTTAATTTTTGTATATTTTTATCTTGTCCCTATCCACATGCAAACATTCACTTTGGCAGTTACCAACATGGTACATAAGATCTCGTGAATATTTCTACAAATGTCTATAAGCTACATAATTGATTTTTTTACGATTACATAAAGATGGAGATTTCATAAGGTATCGAAACAATTTCTTCCTGTTGACCATTCAGATCAGACTGGCTCTCCTTTTTGTTATTATATAATTATTCCTATTTCTATCTCTGTACGTGGTAGCTTTCTGTCTTCTATTAGAAGTATCCTAAAAGGGGCGCCGGGGTGGCTCAGTCGTTAAGCGTCTGCCTTCGGCTCAGGTCATGATCCCAGGGTCCTGGGATCGAGCCCACATCGGGCTCTCTGCTCAGCGGGGAGCCTGCTTCTCCCTCTCCCACTCTGCCTGCTTGTGTTCCCTCTCTCACTGTCTCTCTCTGTCAAATAAATAAATAAAATCTTAAAAAAAAAAAAAGTATCATAAAGTTAAGATCTCCCAAAGTGGGATTAGTGAACTAAAAAGTATGAACTGTGATGGTTCTTGTTATATATAGTAATGCCTTCCAACAGGTCTTAATCAATTCACCTGCAGTCACTACCTGAACTCTGACCATAACACAAACTAAGTACTTTGTACACTTTATATCTTACTTTTCACAAGTCTATGTAGTGGGTATTTACTATTCCTGTTTTATGGATAAGGAAACTGAAGCCAAGAGAGACAAGAGCACGTATAATTTTAAGGTATTAAAGAATATAACTCACACTGCCAAATTCTTATTTAAAAAATATATATACGCATATATACATATTTATTTAAATATAGGCAGCTGTTAATGTCGCACAGTCAATTCCTTCATCTAGATCAGCATTTCCTGAGATATGTTTGGTAACATACTTGATTCTCACTACTTTGGCCCCAAAGAAAACCTTTCCCCTGACTATACTGTGGTGTTTTGCCACTGGCTCACACTGAGGGGCACTTAAGAAAGTATCCATATGAGGCTCATTATTACATTTATTGTTGGAATGGTAAAGGGAACTCCATTTAATCTATCTCTTACAGTACCAAATCTGAAGCCCTAAGGGAGAAATATTTCTCAAACAGCAGGCCCAGAAACATTTTGCTTCTCCTAAGCCATCAAGGTGCTTATCTAATGAACAATGGAAATTTTAGCAGGTAACATTCCTTTATTTACTTTAGCCACTAGGAAGCTCAAAGCATTATCTGAAATTCTCTTTGGTAACTATTTATCAAGATATTCAAGGGGCACCTGGGTGGCTCAGTTGTTAAGGGTCTGCCTTAGGCTCAGGTCATGATCCCAGTGTCCCAGGCTCAGGTCATGATCCCAGTGTTCTGGGATGGAGACCCACATCAGGCTCCCTGCTCTGCGGGAAGCCTGCTTCTCCCTCTCCCACTCCCCCTGCTTGTGTTCCCTCTCTCACTGTGTCTCTGTCAAATAAATAAATAAAATCTTAAAAAAGAAAAAAAAAAGAGATATTCAAGGCAGGCATTTTTCTCAATTTTAATTCTGTCCTTAGCCTCAGCCTACTATTCCTCTATTAAATTCCTCATACTCTAATGTACTTCAACTTCAAAGTAAACTCTCAGGATCAGAGGCCAATGTCATTTGACATTTACAATGTCATTTTCCATATTCATGTTGAAATCTGATTTAAATGGCTTTAAGAATATATATATATAGCAATGAAATATTTTGGGGGATCTGCTGTAACTTGTATCAAAGCAACATAAAAATCAGGTTATACTAGGCAGACAATTTGCCCAAAAACCTTACTTTAACTTATTTAGTATCTCACACTAAGGAAATCACTTAAAATTACCCAAAACTTGCCAATCATAACTGGTACTATTATATTTCTAACTTCATTTTTATTTATAGTCTAAAGCAATTCTAATAAAACTCTTAGAAACTAGCTCAACAAGTAACTGCATTAGTTCAGGGTTAGGGGCTATTTCATGCTTTGAACAATCAACGTAATCTAAAATCTAAGTTGGGTTAGGGATTTATTAGGTTTATTTATTTATTTTAATTTTATTTATTTATTTGACAGAGAGAGACACAGCGAGAGATGGAACACAAGCAGGGGGAGTGGGAAAGGGAGAAGCAGGCTTCCCGCGGAGCAGGGAGCCCGATGCGGGGCTCGATCCCAGGATCCTGGGATCATGACCTGAGCCGAAGGCAGACGCTTAACGACTGAGCCACCCAGGCGTCCCTATTAGGTTTATTAATAGCTCACGCAAGCAATTCTATCTACCTTCTAAATAAATTGGTCATAGTTTTAAAAACCTTATATTTAAAAAATTTAAAGCACAGTTCAGCACATTTGATTTTTACAACATTTTTCTAGGAGAGCAATGCCACTCATTTTACAGATGGAGAAAACTAGTAAGACATTACTAAAACCAATAAAGTTCAAATGACTTTCTCAAAGTAGCATGTGTTGATGGAACTAGAACTAGAAAAGAAACCATTTTTTCCAGACTTTTTCTGAAACGAAGGTAGGACAAGGACACCTTTATTAGCAACGTTCTAAAAAATCTTTGCACAGGAACAAACAACTGTGCGTCGGACAACAGGAGATGGATTATGACTTTACTGTGGAATTCCAAGAACTAATAATGAAAGATTTGATATCCTGCAGCATCAGTGCCCTTAGGCAAAAATAAGTCTGATCCAACTCAGTTCAATGTTAATAGATGATTTAATGAAAACGGAGTCAGCTTCTGACATCTGCTTTTTAGAGGAGGATAAAAAAGGGTACCAAATTCTGAGCCCAATTGTGCTATTATATTTCTAACTTGATTTTAAATAGCATCCAGCCATTCTTTGAAGAACTTTTAAATTCATTCAAAGGTTGGATATTTTCAGAATATCTGCAATTCTCACTAAATCAGGCCCCATTAACTGGCTAAGAGACCAGCAGTATACCAGAGCTCTAACCTGGGAGACCATGAAGGCATTTTTTTTTTTTTTAAAGATAGACAAGATCTAGTCATATTCTGATCTAAATCTTAAATGTATTTGCATTACAGTTTTAGTCCTTTCAAATGATTAAATTACACCAATCTGTACTTTATACTTCTTGAAAGTTTGCCTCTCCAGTATACAAATATAATTTACACTCAGAATGATGAAACTAAGTTATCTTCAATAATATTACATTTGTACAGATTACTTTCTGCTACAGGCATCTTGTCTGATGTATATTTATCAAGAAATTATAGAGAAAGCATGACTTTAAAGATAACTAAGATGACAGAATTTAACATTATAGTAAGATATTTACAATTTATATATAAAGTATATATGGGGTCCTTTTGCGCTTTTTGGAAATAAAACAACATTTTATTCACATTCATTTGGCTGTGCTATGTTTTTGATACTTGGAGGGCATTAAATATTCACATGCATCACATGAAATAAAATGGAGGTAATCATATCTTTTTAAAAAAATAGAATGTTTTTAGACAAGAGACTTATGTTCTCACCTGAGGCTGCTGTGGCATTTGTAGGGGTTGAAGCAGCTGCTTGAATCCGAGCATGAGGAGGAATAAGGATGGTAGCTAGAGGTGGATTACTTGACAGTTCTAAAGAAAAGGT